GCATTTTCAAGTAAAACCATCATGCATACATGCAATAGTATTTAAAAATTAGTGTCTTTATATCTTGAGACAGAAAAGCTGAGAGGTAAAAAAGCTTTCTTCTTGACCTTGTAATAATGACTCTTTCTTTCTGAACATACAGGGTCTGTTACTTTGGAAGTAAAATAAACTTGTAGACCAAAAAAGAATTCTATCAGGTCACTCTGTCTATTCCTTTTCAATCCAGAAAGGCTAAATATTGATATACCTTATTGAAATTGCTCTGCTATTTTGAAAGCTGTCTTGAATCCAATCTCCTCTTCTGGGAAAATAGAAGAGAGAAAACCTGAGGGGTGTAGGTGATGGAGCACCTATAGCCATTTTGCTATATTTGAAATCTGAGAATGGAGTTAAAACTGAAGTGTCCAAAGGGAGCAGAAGAAACTGGGCCCTAGGTTGGCCTTTAAGTCATGACTCAAAAGATACCTAAAATGGGAATCCACAGCCTTCCACTTAGTGTGAACCAGTAAATTCTGTTTGGGATGAGTTTCCCAGAATTTGTAACAGAAGGATTCCTACCTGATACAGAAAGCATCTCTACTTTCTAGCTCAGTTAATGGAGTTCCAAAAGATTAGCAAACTTGCCCAAGTTCACATAATTATTAAGCAACTAAGCCAGGATTTGAAGTGACTTCTTCATGTCAGTTTACTAAAAGGATTTGCTGAGGGCAGTTCAAACTGGATTTTTAACTAACTACAATGTGATAAACATGAAAAAACAAAGACATATCAAAAAGACAGGAGTGAAACAAGGACAGAGTGAAGGACATTGTAAATGAGGTATAAGGTTCAATAATTTCTGAGGATTCTGAAAATCTGAGATTTCCCTGGTTGTCTCATTTCTCCCAGTTACTCAGCAAGACAGAGGATCGTGGATGGCTCTCCTTCCCAGGTTGACTATTTTATACTCCAGCTATTTATAGTGCCCTAATTAGAAATCATTGCAAACATAACATTTGTGTTTTGATTTGCTAAAACACTGATATTGCCAATCCATAAGAATAATATGCATTTCATTTCTAAGAATAGTTGCTAGTGCCAGGAAGCCATGGAAAGCAAACCCAGACTCATGAGGACCCTCATAGTTTCAGAAGGCAAACCACCATGAAATATTCTAATTATTCAGCTTTTTCCCATTAGAATAATCCAAAATGAGCCCCTACTCCTTAGGGGTCAAAGTATCTCATCCTTCCAGCCCTTGACAAGTATTTAATTATTGAAGTTTCATGTTTTCAAATGCATGTTGATTTTACATTCTCCTCCAGAATATATCTGTTTGCATATATAAAAAGCAAAAACAAACAAAAAAACAGGAGAAAAGGAGAGGAGAGTTTATAAGTCTGCCTGGGTAGGCAGGCTCAGGAGTGACATCAAGTCAGATAGCACTGACAGACCCAAAAGGTGACAAGGGTTGGAAGACAGTCTGGAAGGTCCTGGAGAGATCCTTTTTATGATGCGACAACACGGACAGGAAAATAATCTTTGGCTTTTGCCAACAACACAGATGGGAACTGAGTTGCCAAAAGCATTAAGCCAGTTCAGGTCCATTTTGTCCAAGTCAAGATAGGGCTCAGTAGCAGAGTTTCTCTAGGTTCCTTGGTTGGAAAACTTTATACCATTCCATGTATTCCAAGTATGGGTATGCGTTGCTGGGGGCAGTGTGTTGGTCATGGTGAGGATTCTTTATGACATTTCTTTGTTCTGCGTTCTTCTCTATGGACTGAAGCTGCTCATGGCCTCACTGGGAGTCCTCCTTCAGTACATATTCTGGTTCTCCTTATGAGTTGCTACACAGACTGCTGGAATGCCCTATTATGGTTTACTATTGGTATTTTAGACAAAACAGGAAAGAGTAAACATACCATTCTTATTTTGATAATCTTCCCTGTAGCCCTATAGCTATCTGTGCTCTTCTTGGATTAAACTTTTGACCTCCAAGGGGCTGTTCTTATGATCCTTCTGAGAAGTCTATTTTTGTTGTTGGTCTGAAATTAGCCAACTCCAGTGTATTATGGTGTTGGTGTGCATAAGGAGATGCTGGATTGGAAGTTGTAGTTGCCATGGACCAGCATGTCCTAGATGCAATAATGCAAAGAGTAGTTTTGGCAGTTCAGCATTGGTAATCAAGATAGCAATCATGTTGTTCAGAGGATGTGAAGAGTGTTTTATTTGGGGTTACAGCCAGCTAGTCTCCATTTCACTAAAATTAAAAGGCACATACAGATCTGGAAGACCTTAAATAGTGCTTGCCAAAATCAGCTGTCATTTGAGTGGATTTCTCTGGAGTAGGGGTTGAGAGGTTGAAAGACTGAGAAATTGATATGGAAAGCCAGAATAATGTATATGATGGAAAACAGATACTTTTGTGTGTGTGTGTGGGGCGGGGGGGAAATTCACTCTAAGGCCTTAAGTGCTGATAAAGCTTCCATACTAAACTGAAAGCTGCTTGTGTGCAGGATAGTGTCTTAAATATACATCTTCGTTTCACATAGCACTTTCCCTCAGTTGGCCTTCAGGCAATGTTTGCTGAAATAAATCTAAGAGAATGAACCTAGGACTATTTATATCTATCCTACTAGAATAATTATTTTTACTTTTTTTTCAAATACATATTAAATAACTAAAACTGGAAGTCATGTGAGGTTCTCTAGTTTATGAAAATAAGAGATTTATTTTATTTAGCATGTATTTGGCTTACAGTATCTCTGACAGTTATTGTTACAAAGTAAAACTAACTCTTACCTATTCTCCGAGTTGGTGATGCGGACACTTCTGTAGAAGATTAGAGTATAATTGTTTTCTATTGCTGTATGGCAAAATTACCACAGAATTAACAACTTAAAACACATTTATTATCTTATTTTTTCTGTGGGTCAAGGGTTTAAGGAAAGGCTTAACTGGTCCTCTGTATAAGAGGCCCCTAAGCTTCAGTCAAGGTGTTGGTCAGGTTGGGATCTTATTCAAGGTTCAACTGGGAAGGACCTGCTCCCAAGCTGAAGTGGTTGTTGGTAAAATTTAGTTTCTTGCAATTGTAGAACTGAGGGCTTCAATATTTTCTGGCTGTCAGCTAGAGGCCACCTTACTGGTTGTTTGCTGGAGGCTATTCTCAGTGCCCTGTCACATGGACCTTCTCCAAAATGCTTCATGCTCTATCAAAGTCAGCAAGACAGAGAGGGTCTCCTTGCAAGATGCAGCTACAATCTTATGTAACCTAATGACATAATTGACGTTTCACCACCTTCTGTTGGTTCACCAATTGGTTTCACCAATTCCGTTGGTTCAAAGCAAATCATAGATCCTACACTAAAGGAGAGGGAATCATACAAAGGCATGAACACTGGGAGAGGGATAATGGGGTCTATGTTAGAATCTGTTCATCATATATAGAAAGAGAGGAAACACAATTCTTGTCACTTTTATAATTCTGTCAGTGGTAAAGCCTCATTGACAATATTTAACTTAGGTTGAATGACACAAATATTTCAGACATTAGTAAGTCAGTAGGAAAAGCTGTTTTCCTGTTTCTATTTCACTTAGTTACACAACAGTTAATTTTCCTTCAGGGTCCTGAAGGTTATCTTACTGGATAATTTTTGCATTATTATATGTTTTAAAAATAATTGCTATTAGCGGGTTCACTATAAAGCAGACTACTTATTAAATAAGACCTTAGTTTTGTTTCTTTCAGAAAAATAACCACGACCAAGGAAGTTAGCTTCACTCAAACTCAAAATTCACTCTTTTCAAGTCCTTTGAAACTTCATCTGTTATGTTTTTCTTATATGAATTAAGTCCTAATTGCTGGTGTCATTTTACAGATGTGTAAATCAAGGCACACACTTGGGCAGAGCTAATCAGAAGCAAAGGGTTTAGACACCCCAAGAGTTGATATCCTCTTTTTCCACTCAACTATGCTTTCTCCTCAAATATTAGGTCAGAGTGTGATTGTTCGGTAAATATATCACCTTGACTTTATCATACCTGCCCATTCCTCTGTTCCTGTCTTTGGCCTGTGGTTCTATGTTGTTTTTCATTTCCTTTCCCACTGATTATTTTCAGAGCCCATCTCTGCCTACCATTTCTATCTACTCTTGCGATAAATTTTTTTCTCTTTCCCACACTATGCATACAGATGTTTACTTTTGTGGAGTCATTACCTACTTGATACCTTGCCCCTTAGAAACACTGAGGTGAATTAATTAAGATATTTCCTGTGAGATTTGGTCAATTTTTCCTTGACTTTCATTAATATAATCTGTACATGCTTTACCATCCTCTCTGTCATTATTTGTAGCCCTGAAATAAAGATTTCTCAGAGGATTAAAGAAATTTGGGAATATGTTCTACACTGTCCAAATGAGACTCCCTCAGGGTTGATTCACTTAAGAATTTTAGTGGAGCAGAAAGTAATTGTAATTAAAATCTTTTTAATCTTATAAGAGCAGGATGAATCTTTATTTCAAGGGAAATAAGGTATATAGGCTTTTTCCTCCTTGACATACAGATTGCAAATAAAAAGAAGAAACAGATATAAGTATTCTTCTCCATCTTCAATCTTAGAGATCTGAGTTGATCTTTTATATTTTTGAAGATGAAGCAAAAAAATGCCATAAAAATTAATGCATCAAAACCATTATCAATGAATAAAAATCTGTCATTTATATATTCCAAAAGCAGAACACCTTGGTAAATTATGCTTGAATCTATCTGAAATTGCCAAAATCAGGTCCAGTTACCTAGTTACTTTCAGAGGTCAAGTACTTCTTGACATTGGAACCACAATATACAACTTTCTTTGAACAAACAAGTATCCACCACATGCGTGAAACACCTAGATGATGCATACACAAAATTGGAAGTTCCAGACCTTTCCATCACCCAGATGACAGTGCTGCTGGTTTTTGTTGTTTTAAGAATGGAGTCAAGAAATATAGGTTAGAGTTCAAGAGGCTAGAACTAACCTGATGCAGGTGCCATTGTTGTGGCATAGATGACGAACACACCATGGGACATGGCAGTTCTCGATGTTCTTTCCACGTAGTGCTTCATCAATGATGAAGAATTCTTTGTTGTTTACTTGAAGCTCTTGAATGCAGCCATTGAACCCATAAATGTGACCTGCATTCTTATGGATCTTAACATCTTCTGGGATATGGCCAAGGTACATTGATTCAAAATGCACCTATAAGAAAAATAACAACAAAAATATCTGATCAGGTGTTGCCAGATTATACGAGAAAGACCTAGAATGTTTTGTTCTGTAAGGCATGTTTTAATGTATCTTTCTGTGTAAAACAGGTTGTAATTGTTGCTTAGTTTTGTCACCTCTAGTAGGTGGTAGGATAAGTTACCTTAGGAAAGGGCCCTTATTTTATATTTCTTTTGTAGCTCTCACAATACATAATGAAATCTTAATTTTTTTTTTAAAAAAGGACATTCAATAAAACTTGTTGATTGATTACTCTGAAATGTATTTTGGAACTGAAGTGTTTGAATCTTAATGTAAATATTAGCAAATAATAACTGATAAGGAAAATAGAGTCTTGTTAATTAACTATTGTTAGAGACTGAATTGTGTTTCCCCCAAATTCCTATGTGGAAGTTCTAACCCTCAGTAGCTCCGAATGCGACCTTATTTGGAAACAGAGCTTATACTCGCCGACCAGAATGATGATAAAATCACTGGCACAATGTAAACTGCTACTTAATCTCTCTTCCCACCCTTCAGTAACGAATATAAATTGACTTCTCATCATTTGTATGTATATAAAAAGTAACTTTCCCAAACAGGAATTTATGAATACACGTGAATTCTGGATGAAGTGGTAACAAGACCCTGATCTTCAGGTCTGTGGGCATACAAAAGGTGCATGCAGCATTTGTGCAGTTTATGCCTCTGATGTCCTTATCCCCAATATACATTCATGCACTCCAAACTGATACCTGAAAAGTATCCAGATTGACATTACAGATCCACTAAAATGGAAAACTATCATTGCAAGAATTCTGAAACTAGAGCCAAATAATTAAGTTAGGGCTCTAAGGGGAGGAGAGAATGGGAAATGCTCAGTAATGTCACCTAATGTTTACATTAATATGATCTGGTTTGATGCAAATGCACTTTTAGAGAACAGAGCATGTTCAATTCTAGGAACATCAAAGCATCTCCATGACCCATAATAGATCTAACTAACTCTATTATTTGAGCTCTTGTTCTTTTTTAGTGACTCGAGTTCTGCTTCTAAAGGCATTCCTTAATTTTGTGTGTGTGTACTTTATAAAAGATTCAGATATACAGTCACCCAGAGGAAGACTATCTTCGGGTATAGTGGGGTGGAAAACTCAAGGTGTAATAATAGGCCCTCTTGCAGTACAGGAGTATTTCTGTTTGTTTTCACATCCTTTCTCATATGCTAAGTCCATTTATATTACTACTCTAATAAACTATTAGCAAAAACTCTTTTATCAATTTAAGATAAGTAACTCACTGCTAATGCAATCTGGGATCTACCATGAACCTGTAGAATCAGTGAATCCAAGGCCATGACCTTCTCTCACCAAGGATCTTTGACATCTTTGTGTATTGATCACACACCTGGAACAGCAAACCTCTCAGAGCTTTGACAAGTGTGCTGTTTTAGCACAGAACTGATAAAGGATGGAAGAATATCCTCCTCTTCTGTCAGCAGTAGTCAGATCTGAGGGAAAGTCTATAGAGCTATCTATGATTTATTAGACCATTAAAAAACACCCAAACAATGAAAGTAGATGGCCCTTGTATTTCTTCTGATCTGAGGCTCAAGCTTAGTTGGAGTCCTGAAATGTCTGAAAAAGCTGCTGCCATTGACTGAACATAGATAACCATTAAAATGGTTGACTTCCTCTATCCCCAGACTCTTAATTATCCAGGAGCAGCCTTTTGTGTGTATAATCATTTCTAAGGAGACAGGTCTTTAAAATAAGTCTTTTCTAATAACTTCTTGTGAATCAGACTATGGAGAATAGAGTCTGACATGAAGATATGATCGTACAAGATAAAACCACAGAGAACAGACATGGATAATCAAGGAGGAATCATCAAGATAATGAAAAATATGAATGGTGACTGAGGGAAAAGGACTCCACAAATGATAAGAGTGAAATACGCATTCCCTTTCCTCCCAGAGTTTTCTCTTTAAAGGAAGAATATAGTTGCCCTTTTATAATGTGTAGGAATAAAATAAGAAGACAGGCAAAAGGGTACAAACTTCTAAAAACTACAGAGGTGAAAACAGGTAAGAAGCTCTTTTATCTCTCCTTTATTCTGTTTTAATTTAAATTTAGACTTTGGAGTCTACATATATTTCTGTAATGATATCTTGATTCAATGTTTAGTTTTGTTTTACAGCCTCAAATCTTAAATTAAATAACTTTTATGTTAATAGGAAGGTAACTAACGTAGTTTTTACTTAAGATTAACTACTGGAGTGTACTTGTCTTTACTCAAGAATGTGATGACTTATAATTGAAACACTGACTTTTATTTGGGTGTTGTTACTAGATTTTTGTTTTTAATATTATCTGAATTGAATGCAGACAAATTCAAAACCAGAAACATCAAGTCTTGGAATGGGATAAGAGATGCTGTGTAAGGTGTTTGGCAAGAAGGATTTATTTAAATTACTTCTTACATATGATTTATCTTAAATTTTTAAAAACTTTAGAGGCATTTAATGAAAGGGGATTAAAAGGCAGAACCAATATTTATCTTAGAAGAGATCTAACTTGATGAATAGGAAGTAGAGGAGGAGGGAAGATGGCGGCGTAGGAGGACGCTGGGCTCACCGCGCGTCCTGCTGATCACTTAGATTCCACCTACACCTGCCTAAATAACCCAGAAAACCACCAGAGGATTAGCAGAACGGAGTCGCCGGAGCCAAGCGCAGACGAGAGGCCCACGGAAGAGGGTAGGAAGGGCGGCGAGGCAGTGCGCGCTCCACGGACTGGCGGGAGGGAGCCGGGGCGGAGGGGCGGCTCGCCGGCCAAGCAGAGCCCCCGAGTCTGGCTTGCAAAAAGCGGAGGGGCCTGACGGACTGTGTTCCGACAGCAAGCGCGACTTAGTGTCTGGGAGGTCATAAGTTAACAGCTCTGCTCAGAAAGCGGGAAGGCTGGAGGACAAAGGGAAGGAGAGCTGCTGAGCCCCCGGACGACAGAGCTCAGTTTGGTGGGGAACAAAGGCGCTTGCCAGCGCCATCTCCCCCGCCCATCCCCCAGCCAAAATCCCAAAGAGAACCAGTTCCTGCCAGGGAACTTGCTCGCTCCGCGCAAACACCCAACTCTGCGATTCTGCGGAGCCAAACCTCCGGCAGCGGATCTGACTCCCTGCTGCTGCCACAGGGCCCCTCCTGAAGTGGATCACCTAAGGAGAAGCAAGCTAAGCCTGCCCTCCTGCCCCTGTGCACCTTGCCTACCCACCCCAGCTAAGACGCCAGATCCCCAGCATCACAAGCCTGGCAGTGTGCAAGTAGCCCAGACAGGCCACCCCACCCCACAGTGAATCCCGCCCCTAGGAGAGGGGAAGAGAAGGCACGCACCAGTCTGACTGTGGCCCCAGCGGTGGGCTGGGGGCAGACATCAGGTCTGACTGCGGATCCGCCCACCCACTCCAGTTATACACCACAGCACAGGGGAAGTGCCCTGCAGGTCCTCACCACGCCAGGGACTATCCAAAATGACCAAGCGGAAGAATTCCCCTCAGAAGAATCTCCAGGAAATAACAAGAGCTAATGAGCTGATCAAAAAGGATTTAAATAATATAACAGAAAGTGAATTTAGAATAATAGTCATAAAATTAATCGCTGGGCTTGAAAACAGTATAGCTGACAGCAGAGAATCTCTTGCTACAGAGATCAAGGGACTAAGGAACAGTCACGAGGAGCTGAAAAACGCTTTAAATGAAATGCATAACAAAATGGAAACCACCACGGCTTGGATTGAAGAGGCAGAGGAGAGAATAGGTGAACTAGAAGATAAAGTTATGGAAAAAGAGGAAGCTGAGAAAAAGAGAGAGAAAAAAATCCAGGAGTATGAGGGGAAAATTAGAGAACTAAGTGATACACTAAAAAGAAATAATATACGCATCACTGGTATCCCAGAGGAGGAAGAGAGAGGGAAAGGTGCTGAAGGGGTACTTGAAGAAATCATAGCTGAGAACTTCCCTGAAGTGGGGAAGGAAAAAGGCATTGAAATCCAAGAGGCACAGAGAACTCCCTTCAGACGTAACTTGAATCGATCTTCTGCACGACATATCATAGTGAAACTGGCAAAATACAAGGATAAAGAGAAAATTCTGAAAGCAACAAGGGGTAACCGTGCCCTCACATATAAAGGGAGACCTATAAGACTCGTGACTGATCTCTCTTTTGAAACTTGGCAGGCCAGAAAGAGTTGGCATGAGATTTTCAGTGTGCTAGACAGAAAAAATATGCAGCCGAGAATCCTTTATCCAGCAAGCCTGTCATTTAGAATAGAAGGAGAGATAAAGGTCTTCCCAAACAAACAAAAACTGAAGGAATTTGTCACCACTAAACCAGCCCTACAAGAGATCCTAAGGGGGACCCTGTGAGACAAAGTACCAGAGACGTCACTACAAGCATAAAACATACAGACATCACAATGACTCTAAACCCATATCTTTCTATAATAACACTGAATGTAAATGGATTAAATGCGCCAACCAAAAGACATAGGGTATCAGAATGGATAAAAAAACAAGACCCATCTATTTGCTGTCTACAAGAGACTCATTTTAGACCTGAGGACACATTTAGATTGAGAGTGAGGGGATGGAGAACTATATATCATGCTACTGGAAGCCAAAAGAAAGCTGGAGTAGCCATACTTCTATCAGACAAACTAGACTTTAAATTAAAGGCTGTCACAAGAGATGAAGAAGGACATTATATAATAGTGACAGGGTTTATCCATCAGGAAGAGCTAACAATTATAAATGTCTATGCGCCGAATACCGGAGCGCCCAAATATATAAAACAATTACTCATAAACATAAGCAACCTTATTGAGAAGAATGTGGTAATTGCAGGGGACTTTAACACCCCACTTACAGAAATGGATAGATCATCTAGACACACGGTCAATAAAGAAACAAGGGCCCTGAATGAGACATTGGATCAGATGGACTTG